CTTCCGGCGAGACGTTTTTGCGCTGCAAGACCAGGTAGAACATATTCCCGGCCATGCTGGGCATTTCGGCAATGAGCTGGCGGACCGTCTGTCTAAACAAGGCGCGGATTCTCTCGAGCCCTCTTGTGGTCTCTTATTGCCAGAGCCCCTCTTCCGACTATGGCTTACCGCCGGAGCACCCCTACTACCATGGGCTGCTACCGCTATCCGTAGTCACCTTGGTGACCCTGCTCTGCCTCGCCTCAATGCCACCGACCTGGGCCACGATGCTGACCACTTTGGCCTCAATACGACTCAACTTCTGGAGCCTTTCCTTCCAATCGGGGCGATTCCCACTGGGTCTCATGCAGCACCTACGCCTTGTCCAGAGGATCTGCCCACTCCGGCTCCAGCCCCGGTGGTCTGCACCCAGCTCGTTTTGGCAACCTTTAATGTTCTATCCCTCAGTGATAAATTTTGCCAGCCTGCCTCGTTACGGCCTGCTGGTGAAGGTCTTGCCATGCAGCCGGGCAGGGCCCAATTGCTGGCCACCCAGCTCGAGGAGCACCATATCCAGGCAGCGTGTCTCCAGGAAACCCGCTGCGAACCGGGCACCTATCGTTGCGGAAGATTCCTTCGCTTCTGCTCGGGAGGCCTTCGCGGGCAATGGGGAGTTGAATGGTGGTTCAAAGATGGCTTTCTGTTCCGTGCCTCCACGGCAGCTGAAACTCCAATTGGCAATGCCTTCCGTGAGTCTCTGTTTACTGTTGTAGCGTCTGATCCCCGTCGACTCCTGGTGCGTTTCGCAGACAAGACTGTCAGAATCCTTTTCATCGGTCTCCATGCCCCTCATCGTGCTACGGAGGCCTCCATCCTTGAGCAGTGGTGGAACGAAACTCATGCCTTGATCCGGAACCACGCTATGCGCGACAGCATTGTTTTGGTTGGGGACTTTAACGCCTCAATTGGCAGCAATCCGTCGGACCAAGTGGGCGACCACGCTGCAGAACTTGAGGATGAGGCTGGTGAAGCACTGCACTCAGTGTTGAAGGAGTTTGACCTCACAATTCCTGCCACTTGGGCCGACTTTCACACGGGCGCCTCGCACACCTATGTGCAGAAACGCAATGGTCAGATGTGCAGACCGGACATGATCTGTGTCCCATCGGCCTGGTGCAAGGAATACTGTTGCTCCTACCTGGCGCCGCAGATCCATGCTGCCCACTGCAGCCCTGATCACACTGCAGCGATCGTCGAGGTCCGCTTCCATATGAATGCTGGGCAGCCCAGCGCTACTTTGCGCCAACGACGTTTCCCCGTCAGCGATTTCAGTGACCCCGTCAACAAGGCCAAGATTGCGGAGGCCCTGCAACGATTTCAGCCTCTCTTCTGGGAGTGCTCGGTGCATGCCCATGCCGCTCATCTTGTGAGCTACGTCCAACAAACTCTAAGCTCAGTTAGAGCCAAAGGGGCAGCGAGCCCCCACCAGTCCTACCTTCAGCCGGAAACTTGGCGGCTTCAGCGAGCTGTTGCCACCACACGCAGGTCACTCCACCGCCTACAGCGCCAGGTCTACATGCAGCTCATTGCAGTCTGCTTCAGGATTTGGCGGGGAGACGAAATTACTTCCTCTCTGGTCGGGGGTACGGCTTGGTGGCGCCGTGCCGATCTAGCTGTGGCTGCTCACCTCAGTGTTCTGCGTTTCCAAGGCAGGCAGCTTAAGGTCGCCTGCAGGAGCGACCGCAACCGCCACCTGAGCCTTCTTGCTGACAGGATCTCCTCCAGACCCTCCTCTGAGGTCTTCAGTAACTTACACCAGCTTCTCGCCCATAAGCGTAAAAAGCCGTATAGAGCGGACCCGCTTCCCTCTATCCGTGACTCTAACGGTCAGATTTGTCCAGACTCTGACTCCAGCTTTCGCCGATGGCGCCAGCACTTCGGCAGTCTGGAAGGTGGTCGGGAAGTGGAACTGGAGCGGTTTCTTGCCGACTCTCATTCGCAGATTCAGCAATGGGCCAAGTCGAGCGGCAAGTGGCCAGCCCCTATGGATGTTCGCCTCCTCCCTACCTGTGCGGACATCCACCGCTTACTAGTCCAAGCGAAACCTGGCAAATGTCCCGGCATGGACGGTATACCCAATGAGTTCGGCCGAGCCTTTGCCGGGCTCATCTCCCCCCACCTTCACCACCTTGCCCTGAAGACTTCTTGGAGGGGCGCTGAAGCCCTCGGCTGCAAGGCCGGCCAGGCCATCTGGCTATACAAAGGCAAGGGGAGCTTCCAGGAGTGCACCTCTTACCGCTCGATTCTCCTTCTCCCGGTTTGGTCTAAGATAGTCCACCAAGCCTTGAGACCTCCGATGAAGAAGTTCTTTGAGCAGCAAGCACCCAGCTTGCAACTTGGGGGCAAATCTCAGTGCACCGTAATGTTTGGTAGCCAGCTCATCCGTGGTCTAGGCCGCGTGGCGGCAGCTACAGGGGCGACTCAGTTCACCCTTTTCGCGGACATTGCATCTGCCTTCTATTGCGTGATACAGCGTCTGGTGGCTAGCACTGATGCCGCGGGTGATAGCTTTGACCCGGATAGGTTCCTCAACAGCCTTCGGCTGCCCCCAGAGGACCGAGAGGCTGTTGCCAGGCACTTGGCGGAACCCACGGCCCTCTCCAGGGGAGGCGCCCCACCATGGTTGGAGGCGCTTACGTGCAGGCTACAAGAAGGAAACTTTTTCCTCCTAAAAGGGGACTCCACGGTGATCGCCACTGCTAAAGGATCGCGTCCTGGGTCCTCGTGGGCGGATCTTATTTTTGCAGCTCTCATCAAGCGCATACTCTTCCGCCGTGATGAGCTCCGTGAGGAATGCCACCAAGTCTCCCAACCACCATCCCTACCGTGGGATGGCGGCAGAACCCTCCAAGCATGCGACGACTGCTCGGACCACATCCAGATCTCCGAGGTGGTCTGGGCGGATGACATCGCCATCCCGCGCCTTACCACGCCCTGTCTCGCAGCAACTGCTTTAGGTGTTGAGGCCAGCTGTCTGTCTGAGGCTCTGCAAGAATTTGGCTTCACCTTGTCTTTTGCACCCAGCAAGACTGCCGCGGTGTTAACTCTGACTGGGCCTGGCAGTCGCCGAGCCAAGCAGCATGTTTTTGGACCCTCCGGCCTTCGTGGACATGTCCCTGTCATGGTGGAATCCGGGGCCGGAGCCCTTTTGCCTGTCGTCGCCTCTTACCGGCATCTAGGTTGTCAACAGATCCCTGGGGGTGGCCTCCGGGCGGAAATCGCGTATCGTATTACACAGGCCCGGGCGGCATTCGTCGAAGGCCGTCGCAAAGTATATCGGAACCCCGCCATTAGCCTCAGCCGCAAAGCTTACATTCTTCGATCGGCCGTGCTCCCTAAACTCTTTTTCGGAGCAGGGTCCTGGGGTCCCCTCAATATCGGTGAGCGCAGGTCCATCTCAGGAGCTCTCTGGAGCTTTTACCGTAGTCTCTTGGGGATAGGGAAGATGGATGACCAGCATTGGGACGCCCACACGTGTTTCTCGCTCCTGCAGCTACCCAGCCCTGCCACTGCCCTTCGGTTCCAGCGCCTGCTGTACGTCTCTCAGCTGCTGGCGGCGGGCCCTCCGGAGCTTTGGGCTTGTTTGCGTGCTGATCGCGATCATGCAGAGCTACTGCTGGCGGACCTTCAGTGGTTGCACTCGTACACGTGGAGCACCACGGGCTTGCCTTGTCCCCGCCAAGATTGGGGCAGTTGGTGCAATTTCATCTCCCGTGGTCCAGGCAAGTACAAGGGGGCAGTGAAGAGGGCCCTGGCCCTCGACGTGCACAGACACACGGTCATCGCGGCCCTCTCTGGACTTCATCGTGCCCTCCTCCTAGTTTGCGCCCCGGGTCCTGAACCCTCTGCCCATCTCCCCCAGCATCTGTCTTACACCGAAGTCTGCATTCCCTGCCGGCGTGCATTCCATAGCCGGCTCGCTTGGGCTGGGCATTGCGCCCGTAAGCACGGCTACCGTTCCCACGCCCATCTGTGTGCTACTGGTACCACATGTTGTGCCTGCGGACGAGGGTATTCCAACTTGGGCAGACTTCGTCGCCATTTGACCTCCAGCCCGCAGTGTGTCCTCAACTGGGGTCGCTTTGTACCGGAAGGTACCCAGGGGCCTTCCCCCCATCCCTTAGCGTACCCTGAGGCTGTTCCAGGAATCTTGCAGACTGAGTTTGAGCCGCACATCCGCCTTGACATTGCAGCCGGGCTCCTCTCCGCCTTGGATGCCACTCCTCCTGGCGATGAGGAAGCAGTCTGGACACTTGTCACCTCTTTCGTCGAGCCCCTTGAGACCCTTCGTGCTACTGTGCGGGCCTGGCGAGCCGCATCACCGCACTGCCCGGTTCGGTCTTCTACGGCTGATAACATTCTGCTCTTGTTGGATGTGGACCTACTTGCGGACACTCATCAGCCGTGCAAACCTGCACGCGCTTTTCCACAGGATGACGTCCCAGCCTGGACTCGGCCAGGACGTCTAGCCTTGACGGGTCCTTCTTGTACCTTCCGGGTGGAGCCACCCGCTCCCCATGTCCTCCGGCACGACGTCCCTACCAGCCTGTGCTTGAAGGATGCGGCTGCCTATAGCACTTGGCTCGAAGCAACCTGTGGAGTTATTGCCCAATGTGTCACTGCTGCCGCAAGTCGGCCCTGTCTTTTCATCTGCCCTGGAGCTTGTAATGCCCTCGGTCCGGCTAGGGAGTGGCTTAGCGCAACGGGTTTCGAGTTCACAAGTTTCGGCTTTCGCACTCCGAGCGGATGAGTTTCACCAGAATTTATATGCATAGGCGAGCGCTCGAATCGAGCTCTACCGCAGCGAATGGAAAAAAATGGTTCCATGAGCTCCACCCACATGAGGGGCAGAGCAGGCAGCATATAATGCGGGCCTTTGACTTCGATTTTGCCACGGATGTCTTCTAATGAAGTCTGTGACAAAACCCTGCTCTACACCTTTCGACTGCAACGTGAAATCGTTATGCTAAACTCCAACCGTCTCCACAACGAAGCGCGAGGCAAGAGGCCATGCCGGAAAAGGTGTAGTATTGCACAGCCGTGCCCGCTGCCATCTTGATGACCTCTTGGCAGGTCCAAGGCCCACTAGCGACAGTATCTCCAGATGAGAAACACGAAACCCACACCGCAACCCTTCGGAATCACTACTGACTAATGCTTGTGGCTTGGGGACTTTACCACTTTACATCACTTTACCCTCCCACACTCCGACACCACCAGACGAGACCCAGCGCTTCTTGGCTTGCACGCTGGCCTGTAACCCCCGAGAACCCTAAACCCTCGACAGTCCACTGAGAACTTAGCCGTGTAGGAGCCCGGATCTGAAGCAACTCCCGGTGCAAAGGTCTCAAGGCTCTCTTGCGCACACGCTCCCTCTCCCTGTTGAGCCTTCGAGGGCAACATGAGTCTTCATGGCATGGAAACACGGCAGACGACTTTACTTTAGCAGACCCACCCTCCGCCCCTCTTCCATCGGCAGCCTCCTCAACCCATTTTTTCACCTGGGTCTATAACCCGCGGCCCTACGGAGCCTGCAACCTTGGGAGCTCCGCAGACAAGCGGCTAGCGGGTGCATCAGGTAAGCGCCGTAAGTGAGGCGGACGAAGGGCCTCTTGGGGGTTTAGCTTAGGGCCACAAGGTTTAGAACTTAGGAGTCGTAAGTGTCGGGATGTTGCGAGTTTTGAACTTGGGGTTCTGAGTCGGCACGCGTCTCGATTCGTGCGCCTCGTCCCTGCGCAGGTGGCACTACCCAGGATTCTCTCGTTCGTTCCAACTTGTCGGATGAGTTCAGGACCTGATGCTCTGGCGCTTCAACCGTGGCCCTCAGGTTTTCAAAGTGCTACCAACAGCTGTTGGCATTGCTCACCTTGCAGGATGATGAGCCTGATGCCGCGACTCTTCTGATTGGCTGCTGTTATTGACAGAACGTATTCTCTCGCTCCCGGTGTTTGGATGCAGTCCTTGTTAGGGCTGTTGCTGCTACCTGACTAGCATTCTTGGTTGGCTCATTTGGTTAGGCTTGCAAGGCTACTCTTAACACTACACCTGCGGCACCTGTTCTGCCAAATCCTAGTTGTCGTTACAGGTCTTTCAGTTGTTGTTCGGTCTTGTTCGTGTTCTGGCATTTGTCACATGGTAGACATGGGATGTTTCCTCTTTTCGGCTTCATCCCACTACTGTCATACATCTAATGCACCCTGAACTCTTGTCGGCCCTAGCTTGGAGGGCAATGGCCAGTGTGAGAAACGCTGAACTGTCGGCTCCCCACGGTCCAAACAGAGACTCCAGGAAGCCCCTCCTCCCTTCCCGGCAGCACGACACGTCTCTAAGAAACCATGGCACGTCCAGAAACGATGGGAGAGGAAGCCGTTGACGTAGGGAAGATGGCCTCTTTGAAGATGTCGGGAGTTCTCTTCGTATGTTGGCACAGGGGCTTCCCTAAATGTGGGTCGAAGGGGTTCAGGACCATTGTAGCTGCAGGTCCTCGCCGGAAGCCTATTCCAACTCGGGGGCTTGCGACTGTTTTTTCGGAGGACGTGACAGTGCCGCATCTTTGCATTAGTTTGCAGACTGCATGAATACACATGCCTACGTACATTACGACATGTACACATCTATATTTCTATGTCTGTATGTGTATATATACAGATAGATAGGTAGATAGATAGATAGATAGACATTGACATGCGAACCTCAAATGTCTACTGCGAAGATTACATGGCACTAATTGCCCGAAACTGCCCAGAACCTGTCGAAGGGACATCGGTCAATTGCCCCAAACAGTTGCCCTTGCGCACAGAAGCTTCAAGATCTGATCCGGCGGGCAGACCGAAAACGAACCCCCCAAACCCGCCCAAACCTGGCACTGCCACGAACTACTTTCTTGTCACTGGTCGCAAGATTTGCAGACAGCTCAGCTCAATCGAAGCCTCTCCCTTTACTCTTTGCACCCGCTGCCGTAAACTCTATCTCACACCGACCGGGTGTCCGAAGACCGAATCGAAAGTCCAGGTGGCCGTAGTAGCACAGCAAGGTGATCACCGCCCATGACAGTGCCCAGAAAAAGCGCCCGAAGTCAAGGAGAAGCACGCTCTCGAAATTGTTCCAGCCTCGTTCAACCCGAAACTTCCAATCCCGAAGCAAAAAAACATCGAAGGGTCGGTGCACGTTGAAGCAGCTTGAGCTTCTCGGTTTGGAGGTCTCGGGCACTCAGCGTCTCGTCTCATCAGACTCTTTGCGCCGGGTGGCTGTTGCGAGAGGTTCCAAAATCGGTGGACGGGATGAAGACGATGAGGCACAGGACCCCCGCAGCGAGCAAGGCCGCCTTGAAAATTGCTCAGCAGTTGCAGTAGGGGCCAATGGCAGCAGCAGGGGCAGTAGCAGCACCAGTACTGGCACCAGTAATACAAGCGGTAGTCGTCGTCGTAAGTAATACTACTGCTACTACTAGTACTACTACTACTACTACTACTACTACTACTACTACTACTACTACTACTACTACTACTACTACTACTACTACTACTACTACTACTACTACTACTTACTATACTACTATACTACTACTACTACTACTACTACTACTACTACTACTACTACTACTACTACTACTACTACTACTACTACTACTACTACTACTACTACTACTACTACTACTACTACTACTACTACTACTACTACTACTACTACTACTACTACTACTACTACTACCTACTACCACTACTACTACTACACAAGAGTAGTAGTAGTAGTAGTAGTAGTAGTAGTAGTAGTAGTAGTAGTAGTAGTAGTAGTAGTAGTAGTACTAGTGGTAGTAGTCTCAGCAGCAGTAGCAGCAGTAGCAGCAGTAGCAGCAGTAGCAGCAGTGGCAGCAGTGGCAGCAGTAGCAGCAGTGGCAGCAGTGGCAGCAGCAGCAGTACCGCAGTCAGAGTCGCAGTCGTAGTCGCAGTTGTACCACAACGATGCCGGACGAGTAGCAGCAGCAACAACGGTCTGATACGGATTCCTTGATGAGGCACGAATTATGCAGGGAATGGCGCCAGCCATCCGGATGGACAGGGAACTATAGACATCACAGTAGCCGTACCACAGAAGCCCCGACACCATGAGTTTCACAACCGCAGCAAAACTCATCTGCAACCGGCATACTGGACACAAAGTGTACTGAATGCCAGAAGCAACGCATGAGCAGTGGCAGCAACACATGGGAGCAGCAGTCGCAGTAGGAGCCGAGGCAATAGCAACAGCCCAAGGGTGTCAGCCGAGCATGAGAGACAGTCGTAACTGGGCCTACTGCCACGAGGGCAATGACGATGGTGAAGGATGAGGATGAAAATCATGATGACTGCTGGACTTGCTGCTTCCTTCTCCTGCCCTTCTTCTCAAGACATGTCTTGCTACCACCTTTCATGCTACTTCAAATAGCAACATGACGACCAAAAATGTTGCACGGAATCCTGGCCAAGTCTCCGCGGTGGTGGCAAGTGATTGTTTCCGCCCGAAAATTTGCGACTCTCGCGTGATGCCTGCCAAAGCTTCAAGCAGTGTACTGGGAAAAACCGAAGATTATGGCCTCTGCACCTCAGCTGCCATCGCAGCCACTCAGCATCCCACAACACGACCACCGCAGGTAGTAACGACTTGCGTTTCGCTGTCGACAACAAACTCTGGTAAAAGTCTACAGCAGTGGGCTCGCAGGGTCCGGGGTTCGGATGGAAAAGCGCTGCCGAGCTCTCTCCCTGCGCCTCAAACACCCCTCTTGCTCCCAGACGCTTATGAGGATCATAAAGAGAGGGCTCTTTTTATAAAAATCCTCTATGAGGATCATAGAAAGCAAAACCATGCAAAGACCAAGTCAGAAGAAATCAGCCGAAAGGCTCAGGGGAAAGGGGAAATGATCCCCAAGAACTTCACTTGAGTGCCTCGCTCCTCCATCGTCTGCAGTACCCAGGCCGCAGCCCTGAGGGGCTTCGAAATTCATTGTGTACTACTGACAACAGCAACCGGAGCACCGTTGCCTAGGAATGCAAGGACTTAATGAGAGAGAAGCAACATGGAAGGCAGGAACTTTAAACTTTAAAGCCAAATCAGCTATGCTTCCTATACCACTAAGACGCCGAGGCGCACTCCGACGAAGTAGGCCGGGGCACGGGTGTAGGGCTTGCTGTAAGCGTAATAAGAATACCTCGTCGCACGCCGCACGCCGAGGAAAGTTTTTCAATTTCTGATGGGCATGGGGGCGATCAGGGGGCGATGCTGAGGGATGCTGATTGCAGTGTATGCCGTGCTTTGACGTTTGCCGCCGGGCTTGGGATTTGGTTCAGAGTACTCAAGGGGCGGCAGGCTTCCTGGGATTTCCACCGCTTCGGGGCATGCAAGCTTGAAGTTCAGAACGTCTGCAACATCTATATAGGCAGGCGTGTATGAAAACTCTCTGGCACCACCTCCTGGGTCATCATACTCATGTATCTCTGCGGCATGCACGTTCACGCTTGCCATGGGCTGTCATTTCTCCATCCACGGCATTGGAGGGAGAGAAAACGCAGGGAAGGTCGCAAGATGATGCACGCTTTTTTGGCTTCATCAGAACAAAGGGGCCTTAGGTTCTGGGTTTCCTCGTGCGACAACACCGACAGTGCCGTGTCGGCAGCTCCAAAAGTGCAAAAACACCAAACAAAATATCTCTAAGACTCTAGGGTTTTCAGCTTCGAAGGATACTGAGCATTGAAGCTGGGTCTTGAATTGTGTCCGATCTTCATTTTGATTTGGCGAACTGTGCTCGGAGTCTCTCAGAGACAACAAGCAAATACATCTTGACAAGGGGCTTCAGGCGAGAAATCAACAGCTTTTGTTTTTTTTGGGGGGGTGCAGCTTGCGTCTTTCGGATCAGCTGCAGCTTGCTCCAGCATGGCAATCGCAAGCAGCGTGGGTAGCCCGGTGTCCTCCTCTCATGAAACACTAAACACCTGCGCGATTCTCCTTTGCTCCAAGGATCTCGGCGTAGTGCTGATCGAAGATGTAAGCAGACAGGTGATACTTCGTGATCAGAAAGGCAGTAACTCCCAGGGAGATGCCAGTCAATGACCTCCAAAAATGGGCTGCAAGGGCCTATCCCACCCCTCACCGAGCGGCTCTACACCCGAAACGGAAACGGGCCAAGCAGCAGCAGCAGGAACCAGCCCAATATCTTGGCTCGGTGGAAAATGGGGATGATGGCCTGAACGCAGCGCGTGGCTTAGGCGTAGAGTGATGCCTGTTCTATCCTGTTCTGTTAAACGGGCTGCCCCTTCACCTTTTCCTGTCAGGCTCGGCAAGACTCTCCTGAAACAGAGCCCACGCAACAACAAAAAAAACACGCATACCAGAAACCTCCGTGGCGTGGCCACTGACCGCATCGTACCGGAATCCCAAGAAGCCGCTGGCCATCGACTCCCGAGTGCTGCAGCTAACAAGCTTAGCCCCGACAGTGGTGCTTTCGCGGCAGCTGAGGCACAATGCCAAGAATGAAGAAGATCATGTCGTCCCCTGGTTTTAAAGACAAGTGCAGGGAATGCTGAACATTCGCACATTGTGGCGTTCGGTGAAGCTACAATTCGGGTGCTTGACTTCAATCTTCCCTAGCTATGGTGATGCTGGGATGTCGGGTTCGCCACAGCCACTTGGCTCCGGTCCCAGGACCACCCTTGCAATTCAACTTGGGTTTACACGCTCTAGTGTACCACTCCGGCTCACTAGTGAGTAGATCGATGGTGCTTCAACAGCCTTTAGCCGATAACTCGCACGGATCTCGAGACTGCAGCCTTCGCCAACTAGAAACCATCGGGCAAAGGCTGTGTTCTGCTAGGCTTCGTGGGAAAATCTCGGCTGCCGTGTGTTCAAGACGTTGTTGCAGGCGAAGATCCAAGATACCACGTCCATCCCATGCAGACTTTGTCGGAATCAAACGGAATGAAGTTCCTTGGCACTGTGGTACGGGCTTCAGAGATCGAAGTGCTCGTTCGCATCTTACCTCATCCTAGCCTCATGCTAGCAGGACAGCAGGCTCTCTCTACATTCCATCGGAGAGGCATGGTGTAGGTCAGCTCGGACCACCAGGACCTTGAAGGGCACACTGCACACCTCTTCATGCCTACGTAACCGGCCACATTGAGTGGCCCCGACGCGAAAAGATGGAAACGCTTGCTTGTAAGCGCATGTACCGACTTAAAAGACTCCTGTCCTAACCTGGTACACAGGTGAAGCACAACGCAAACTGGACGGCTTCTGAGGACACCGCCGCCGCCTAGAGGCCTCGACCTCCTCAGAAACTCCCAAGCCCAAGTCCACCGAAGCTCACGCCCCAAGGAACCCAGTGCAGCGCCGGAAGATGGAGTCTTGCAAGCTCAGCGCGAAGGGGCCGGAGGCCAGGTAGGGCAGGATGCCAAAGTAGACCAGCCTGAATCTAGGGAGCTTCAGCTGGCAGTCCTATTTCCCCTCCGTTCTGTGGCTCCTTGAACAAGCCTGGCAAGGTCTGCAGTTGTAGGTGCTCTGTGGTTTAGGGTTCAGGGTTGATTTTGGCAAGTAACCATGTACTGATCACGCGATGGATTGACTACGTGACTACACCAAGCTGTGGCGACACAGCAGATACGAAGGGGGGTTTAACACACATCAGGGCGCAGAAACATGCATGACCCCATTGTGGACGCCATTTCAGGGAACTACACATCAGCGCCGGGATTACACAGGACCCCAGCCTCAATCGCCAGGCCGGGCTCCGAAATGCTTAGCCGCAAGGTGGACACCGACAGATGTGTATTTCCGCAACGCGATGCGAATTAAACCCTCCCCTCGCAGCAACATGCAGCGAAGAAAAGCTGGCACAGCGGGGATTCGACTGATTCCAAGTTTCGATCCTCTGACCTTGTTGAAGTCTGAATACTTTCAGAATAATTCGAAAGCTCAAAACCGAGTCTCAAAAGACAACACACCTTGTCCCTGCACTTCATGGAATAAGCAATGAGACCTCAGGAGGCATCCGGCAATCCAAACTTAACCACTGCCCTGTGAACAAAGTCAAAACGGGAAACAACTCAAGGGTGTATGTCTGTGTCTGTGTGTGTGTGTGTCGGAGAAGGCAATGCCTTTGAAGATGGCCTGGGAAAACCCCCGTCTGGAACCCGAGACCGCGGCTTATGCACGCAGGGTGCACTTAGGAGCTCGGTCGGTTCTTGGCCGGCCAGCCCCCGGATCTGACTGAAATGGGGAGGGCTGGCGGGAAAAAGAAAGATTTGTTCAGCACGGGCTTTGGTTGTATGCAAAAGAAACCTTAAAACAAAAACGAGACAGTGTCAATAGCGTGTTAATGGCTAGAGTCTGGAGCAAGCTGGATCCATAGCAGATACTAGAATAACTGGAACCTGATTGCTCCGCTTTTAAACCATGTTTATGCACCTGCTGGACAAGCTTGGGAGAAGCGGCCTAGGACGCACAATCTTTGCCAAGCAGCATGGTCAAGGCAAGGCTGGGCGTGAGGCGCAAGTATCTGAAAGGGATATATAGAGGGGTTACTACAAGGGCTACGTACTACAAGAGCGTTTGGTATAGGGGCCTTGATAATTAGCATAGGGTTGTAAGGCCCGTTATACTATCACTGCAATCATCCAGGCAACACTTGTGGCACTTATTTGCTAGTGCTCGGGGCTGCGAGGGCTGCTGCAGTAGGGAACCATTACTTCGCTGCGCAAATTTTACGCCATCGTTGCCTGTCCCTCGTGTTCACTCTCTCTGCTGTAATTGCTGGTGCCCCTTCCTGTCTTTCACTTTTGCTTCTTGCAACTGCTTTGACATCTCGTGGCCCCTTGCCTTTTCCCCTGCTGGGCTAATTTAGCAGCTGCTACGCACACTGTGTGTCTGCCCCTTCCTCACAAGAGACCGTCTTGTAACTGTTCTCACGGGCATTGCCTGTCTTGCTATGCAACCTTAGGTTCCTCTTTTAAACTTGAATTTCTTACATTGTGTTGACTAATTTAAGCCCTATATTCAACATTCATGTGGAGCCTTCCGACAACACTTTCCTGTCTGCCTGCAGCCATTTGCAGGCTCCCCGTGGTCAACAAGATTGTGTGCGGACCATGGCACTTCTGACACCTGGAACCTCGACTCGCCCGAACCCACTCTGACCCAATGGCAAAAAGCAACTCACAGGCTCCAGCTCATGTGGTCGCGTCTTTGGCAGCGAGAGATGGCGGTCTGTAGCCCCAAGAAGATGTTCCAAACCAAACAGAACAAGACAAGGCTATGAATCCCCATAATTCCCACAGTTAGGGCAGAACGAGTTGGGAGAGATCGTCAAAGATGTGAACCTGTCCTGTGGGAGACCCGTGCAATGAATGACCAACCCCTCTTGAAGTGACGAAAATCATGTACCTTTCACGTAATTTGTTCCTTCGAGTTGCCTCGCCTCAACCGACGAACCCCTTCACATGAACCCCAAAACGGAATAGAACCAGAGTCCAGGGCGACCAACCTGAGGAGGATGGCCAGCAATTGGTTGGCTCCTCTCTGGAGAAAAAACCACAGCGGGAAGGGAACACGTAGACATGACCTTCACGGGTTTAGGGTTTAGGGGACGTGTGAGCAGGGTCAAGCAAATCTTGATTCGATGCGTGGCTTGCCAACACAGCTCGTAACACTTCGTTTGGGACGTCACCAAAGGCTTTGACAGAAGCGTGGTTCATTATACAGAGTCCAGGGCTCTTTTAATCACAGCGGCGCACCTCAAATCCGAAGGTCGACCACAAACGTCCAGGCTGGAATCAGACATTTCCAACTCAAATCCCTGTCCTCCTCCTCTCTGCATCTCTTTAAGGGTGAGATAAGAAAGTAGGAAACCGGACCTCGCCACTGCACTGGGTCCAGTTGTCAGTCTCGGGGAGGAAACTCAGAACATTGGCGATCTGTCCATGCTGTTCTGTGCCTTTACATGCTGCCAACGCTCTTATGCAGCTGATGGGTCCAAGCAGCAAAAAAAAGAAGGTGTCCACACCTCGGTTTAGCATGAGTACGAAATAAGGATCCTTCAATACCTACCATCAACCTCTCTCGCAGAGAACCTGGAAAACACGGACTTGCCTTCGTTGGATCCCAGAAGTGGCAAGAAGACTTCCTGGGGACGGCGCTCATCTCGGCCTGGACGATCAGCATCAGCAGAGGATTGTTCTCTGCAACGGCCCGGTTCATTCCGCCTCGTGCCGTGAGATTTGGCGATTCTGTTTCTCAGGTCCAAGCATCGGTTCGAGTGCTGTCTGCAGACTGCCATGTACACAGACTGTGTACGAACCCTGGAACCCACCTGTTTGCTTCTGGGCGCCCCAGCCGAGCGAGATATCCTGCGGGTTTGAGTAGCCAGAAACGCCTGCTCAGGCGATTGGGGTACAATCATGGAATCCAGTCAGGCTGGGCTTTGAGAGAAAGTCTTGGCTTCAACGCGCCCTCTAATCTTGAAGCCCGAAACCTGGGCAACCGCCCCCCAAGCTTCCAAGCAACCACGTTTAATGTGGTCCGATAGGACACGTGAACGTTTCTGAAGCATTCAGCACCAGCACGACAACCAAAGGCGTCCCACAAGAAATCAACGAAACCAGCACAAAAAAGCAAACCTGAGATAAGTCTACATCGCAAGTAACACACAATTACACACAAAATTCAACTGCCAATCGCTTCGCAAACAAAACCCACCTTCTGGCATCAGAAAGGTGTGGCCAATGATGACGTGGCACATCGCAATGACCCGCAGTCCATTCAAACAATCTGTAGGCTTGTACCTCGGTGTCTATATCAGTTTCTTGGGTCAGCGGATTCTCACGGCATGCGATCTTCCTTGATGTGGGAGTGCCATGCAGCAGCATGTGGCCATTGCATCCCTGTTCACTGCCCGCACAAGCAAGCATAGTCGTGTCACCCTGATGCCATTCTCTTGAG